ATTTAGGAGTCTTGAAAATCAGGCTGGAGTCGGTGAACAACGTGTCCACCTTCCCTAAATTCAAAAACGTTCTCATTGATATTCCAATCGATTAAAACGTCAAGACAATTCGTCAACCATATAGAAGAGTACCTACCCATCCCCTTAGAAACGAAAGTCAACACCAAAATGAGAGAACTATTAGACTCCGACATAATTGAAGAGGTGGTCGATCCATCCAAGTGGGTTTCTCCCCTCGTTCCAGTTTTAAAAGGAAACGGTGAGGTTAGGATATGCGTAGATATGAGAGAAGCTAATAAAGCAATCATCAGAGGGAACTATCCTCTCCCAACTATGAACGAACTCCTCCAAAAATTCAGAAATTCTCAACTGGTTTCCAGATTAGACATAGAGAATGCTTTTCATCAATTAGAAATATCACCTGATTCACGTCATATCACAACTTTCATCAGTAGTAATGGTCTGTTTCGATATTAGAGACTGGTGTTTGGAATATCTTGTGCACCTGAAATATTCCTGAAAACATTAGAACGAATTCTTCTGAAGAGTGAAGGCACTGTTAATTCCATAGACGACATTCTTATATTTGGGAAAGATGAAACAGAACACAACTCTAGACTACGTTTCACATTGAAAACATTACGCAAAAATGATATTTTATTGAATGAGGCGAAATGCCTGTATGGAATGAAAAGTTTCCAATTCTTGGGTCATACTTTATCGATCAATGGAATCACACCTCTTGATAGCTATGTGGGGGTCATAAAAACGTTCAGATCACCAAAAACCGTAGACGAGATTCAAAGTTTCTTAGGCCCCATCAACTATGTCGGCAAGTGGATACCATACCTAGCGACATTAACAGAACCATTTCGACACATACTGAGACTGAAATTAGGAAAACATGCAAACATTGAAACTCATTGAAAAGACGAACAACGAAAGGCATTTGAACTAATCAAACAAATATCAACAAAAATCAAATCACTGGGATACTATAATCCAACTGACAGTGTATTCAGTTTGACGATAGGGGACCACGAATCATCGGATATAGGAATAAAAGTCTGACAAAATGCGAAAGAAAATACTGCCAGACAGAAAAGGAAGCGTTGGCTCTTGGCTGGGCGGTCGAACATTTCAAAGCGTATTTGTATGGCAAGGCGGAGTTCGAGTTAGTGACTGATCATAAGCCTCTCGAAGTCATTTTCGGATCAAGATCCAAACCCTATGTACGCATCGAAAGATGGGTCCTTAGACTCCAGTCCTACAGTTCCAGAATAGTTTATAGACCAGGTATATCGAATATAGCTGATTCGTTATCAAGGCTTTGCATCATAGTTCCATCTGAACCTTTCGACAAAGAAAGACTAATTGATAGAATATTCACGACCTGTAGCAATTTCTTTGAACGATATCAAACATCATTAGGAAATAGATGAGGAATTCGCCAAAGTGAGAAAGGGATTATTTGAAAACCACTGGGATCAGTCGACTAACGTTTATAAAATATTCCAATCAGAATTATGTTATCAAGACGGAATTCTTCTGAGAGGAAACAAATTCGAGATACCAACAAATCTGAGGAAAGATGTTTTATTGGCAGCACATGAAGGACATCCAGAAATTTCAGCAATGAAAGGCAGATTGCGAACAAAGGTTTGGTGGCCTAAGATCGATAGCGACGCAGAAAAACTAGTCAAGTCTTGAAGAGGATGTATCTAAGTATCGACACCATTACGACCTAACCCTATGAAGCGACGGGAATTACCATCCAAGCCATGGGTTGATATTGCTATCGATTATCTGGGCCCTCTTCCTGGTAAATATTTTATATTAGTAGTGATTGATTATTATAGCCGCTATGAAAAGATCAAAATCACGAAGGACACAACTACTAGGAAAACAGTGGATTTACTCCAGGAGATCTTCTCTCGAATTGTCTATCCGTCATCGATAACAGCCGATAACGGTAAGCAGTTCGCAAGCCAAGAACTACATCAATTCTGCCATCAACGTGAAATAATCGTTTTCCGTAGCATACCATATTGGCCTCAACAAAATGGAGAGGTCGAAAGACAGAACCGAAACATTTTGAAACGAATCAAAATAAGCCACTCGCTGAAACAGGACTGGAAAAAGGAGCTCCTAGATTATCTAGTAATGTACAACAGCACCCCACACACGGTGACCGGTAAAACTCCGGGAGAACTTTTTACGGCCGACAGTTCAGAGATAAAATCCCAAGCCTCATAGACCTCGAAGATAATGAAGAGAGCAACGAAGTAATAGACAGAGATAAAATTGAGAAGGAAGAAGGTAAAGAATATAGCGACAATAAGAGGAAAGCTCAGGACGACTCTCTCCAAAAAGAGGATAAGGTTTATGTGAAAGAGATGCAGAGAGAAAATAAAACGTATCCAAATTTCACACCAGCCTCCATACAATCATTAACAAAAATGGAACAGATGTGGAAGTCAGAAACGATGAAACAGGACAGAACCTGAGAAGGAACATAGTCCACCTGAAGGAAGTCAAAGGAGAATGGACAGTACTACCGAAAGAATACGATACTGTACGAGCAGACCAACTGACTTTGGCTAGTAGCTTTCATTCAAATCTTATATTTGTATATAACTGTTACTATTATTATAACCTATCATTGTCACTATCAGGATTATTATTAGAATTAGTAGTTATATTATTATTATCATTATTATTATTGTTATAAGGATGGATATCGTTAGTGTTTCATGTTATTATCATTAGGATTGTACTTTTATTTAAGTAGTATCATTGATATGTCCTAATCGGAATAAGTATTCCTTCACATACATTGAAAGTGCTGAAAACAAGGGAGAGATGTAGTATCCAGTAATTATGAATAAACGGATCAGAAAGACATGAGTGAATCATCACCATCGCAATGCGGATAGGTTGAAATGATGATAAGGAGATTCATTAGTGTCTGGACGATCGGACAGTGTACATCGGTGTTTAATTGTGTTACCCAATCCCAGTATATTACAACAAGCTAAAGAAATAAAAAATTTCACTGTTATCAGTTACAACCGTAGAAAAAGTATAGTATATATAACTATAGCACGGTATACTAATAAGTGCTTTCGTGAAGTTCTGAATGAATTCATTTTTAGCCCAATTATACATTCCCTCGTACATTCCTGAGGAATCTTCCAGTGCAATTTCATGCTCATTCCCTTCAAGGAGGAAAAAAATTTTGGAAATTTGTTTAGTTACTATACGTAACGATACGAAGTACAGACTTTTTTAAGTGGTCGAAAATGTGGTTTGTGAAATTTGCAATGATAATTCAGAGATATAAGTTGAGAACTTCAGATATCATTATTATTATTAGTGATAGATGAATATTTGCTCGGGAATTGATAGGATAGAAAGGTGACGCAACTATATAATTTATCATTCGGGACGAGGTGGTGAATCGCGTCAGTCTTGTGTTAGATGTCATCGCGTTCGGTCAGTCTACTCAAAGTGCTGCAAGATTGTAGTGTTTATCGAGGAATAGTATACAGGGTTTTTTATGATGAGCGTTAATTAAAAGTTTGTGGGAAACCAAGCAACTGATGAATCTGAAAATCTTATGGTTATGTATAAATGGACATAATCTGCACGTTTGAAATATTTTGAACAATGCGGCGTTGCCGCTTCTACTAGAAAGTAGTAACAACTATGATTTTTCAAATGAAAAACCCTGTATTTCATTGAATTTTTAAAATCTCCTTGGAGTGCTGATTTTATCAATGTATCACACTAAACTTGTGGCATGTGGTCTAGCGGGAACGATTACAGAGATGAAGGGTGTTTCAAATCGAGATTTTTCAACTTTCGGACTTCTTGTGTCGATATTATACATTATTAGTCAAAACGGCTTCCATGTCCCTATCTCAACTTCTGATTTACTTTCTACTGTCATTGAATTAGAACAAATACATGGTGGTTCATGATTCAGAATTCTGATCACCCTGTACCTGTTCTAATTAAATGTCAGTAAATAGTGAATCAAAAGTTAAGATGGCCGCTTCGACGAATAATGAGTTTCGACACAAAAATATCCTAAAGTTGGAAAATCTAGATTTTGACCACCCTATATTTCTGTCATCATCCCCACTAGACCCCCAACTGTGATACATTGATGAAATCAGCTCTTCAGAGAGAATCTTTAAATTCAATGAAATACGGTGTGTTCCATTTGGAGAATCAAAGTTGCTGTTACTTTCTAATAGAAGCGGCAACGCCGCATCGTTTTGAATATATCATCAAACTTTCAGATTCATCTGTTACTTGGTTCACCAAAAAACTTATAATTAACGTTCATCATGAGAAACCTGTATTGTTTAACCAGCACGGACATATTTATAATGCGTACTTATTTGCGTTTTATGAGAAGACTAAAATTGTGACTAAAATTCTTATTATGGATTGCTAAATTTATTTTTGTTCCTTGGAGTAATAAATCGATTTATTTTCTCGCAAAGTGTCTATCACGAGTTGGGAAAAATTAAAAAACTCAGGGGAATCTGCATATAGTCCACATTTATGAATTCTTAAAACACTTCACAAAACACCGACAAAACACAGAATAACGCGATGTAAGCACTATACCCAAACGATGTATTCGATAGACTATTATCACTCCTTTACACTGTTGTAGAATCAAAACAGTTCTTTTCTACGGCTATACCACAAAATTGCTTGATTGCTATTGTTTTACTGAGGTTCTTTGTATGTCATCAAGTTTACTCCCGTATCTGATATCACAATGACTTCTTTGTGTTATTATTTCACAACATTTCATCGCCCATGAATTGTCAAATTTCAAGCAATGACAGCTTCTTCTAATTAACGCTCATCGTAAAAACCCCTGTATACTATTTCGCGATATGCACTAGAATCTTGCTTGAAACTGATACGATTCACCACCTCGTCCCGAATGACAAATTTGTTGCGTCACCTATTTTATGGACCTAGGGGAATAAATAATGCTGGATTGACTTTTTTATCCTTTATACATAAAACAATTTGATGAATACAAATTATTTTTCATATATTCATATACTTATATAATATCGCTACAATGCAATATGTAGTTAGCAATGCAAACTTAAAACTAATGACTAGAATACTGACGAAATTAAGTCTTTTTATTTATTTAGAATCTAATAATATATTATGTAGTGTGTGCAGCAAAGCAAAAAGTAAATGGACACTATATACCTACTATACGAATCACATCTGTTACATTCAAAGATTAATTATAAATGTTCATTCACTGAATATACGATGCATACTACAAGGACGAGTGCAGTCATGGCAGATATTTATAACAAATGTGATTGATTCCTGATTCACAAATACTTATTATTTATATTGAGAAAAAATACTGTTATTACATTGGTCAATCATCTTTAAGTACTTTTTGTTTTATTTCTACATACCCACTTATACATTATTTGTAAAAACACTGAGGTATAAAATTACTAAATAGGTACAAAATCGGTTCACTATTAAAATTTTACACAATTGAGTATTTTTTCATTCACCGTACATAAAATGAAGAAACTTGAGTTTTTCTCTACTTGAAATCAAGTAGGCGAATTGTAAAAAAATAACTTCAACAATAATAAAACAATTTTCTATGAAAGCACAGAAGGGTCAACAGGAACTCATACATGAACACCAGGAATAACATTATGATGAAAAATTCATTTAGAAAAATCTATGAGCATAGATAAATACCGAAATTATCATAATAAGATTCGGTCGTATTCAAAAATTACTGCTGACTGATCTGTGCTTTTCCAAATTTCATAAAATCAAGACGGCAATAACATTCGATCTAGGTACTTAATTCACTTAATTGTAATCAACTCAACTTGATATACTTCATACGGAAAGCTACAGAAATCACAATAAGAATCAGTATAACCCATTATTAAATTACAAGAATAAAAACTCAATTTGAGCTAGTTATGATTAAATAAAATGGATACTTATATCAACTATTTACAAAACTCAGATAAAATTGGAGGAAACGAGAAAGTCAACAAAAAATCCGGAGCAACAACATTTGTACATACATCGACAATGAGACAGATCAGATTAATTCGAAGAAGAGTCCGCTTTGAGAGTCTTACACCTTTCCTTCTCCTGGTTGGTGTCGGGAGGTTCGCATTCGAAGCTCGCCAGGGCCAGAGCGTTCTCGTTCAGGATCGGGCCGTGTTGCAGGAGGTTCAGGATTTTCTGGTCCTTTTCGAAGGGGCAAGTCACCTGCTTCCACGCCATGAATTCGGTCACTTGCTTCGCCAGCTGCCAGAATTTCTCGAAATTTATGTGGCCATTAGGAAGCCTAAACAAAGGAAAGAAGATTTTTAGAAATTACAGGAAACTACGGAAAAAGCGTCAAGCTGGACCCGTGAATCTTTTAAACATCGAGGTCAAGTGACGTCACCCACAACACATGATATTTCTTCCTTCTCTATATTGAGAAATTACGACTACAACGAGTGAAGCGATCCCGGCGAGTCGTCATTTTTTTTTTCAGAATTTTTCACTAAAAAGTAATTTTTCTCAAATATACTTTCCAGGAAGAAGGTTCATTTAGCTAGATGCTTGTCGGGAAAAAGCTTATGAACATTAGGATATTGTTTGTTTGCAGCATGAGCCGTGGCGAGTAACAGACTATAATATTTCTACGGCTGCAACAGATAACAGCGAAATTTTTCATTTTTTCGGCTTGTAGCCATTTGATTCTCACTTATAATGTCCCTAGGGAATGAATTATAACCGGAAATTTTTTGAGCATGAATTTTCTGCGTACGAGACATATTTACCGCAATATAATTCATGCACGTGGGGGATTCGGTAGAAAAATTTTATGCCGGAATTATATATTTTAAAAGAAAAAATGAAGTGTATATTTACTCTCCCCCTACCCTAGTAAAATAAAATTTATAGTATCAGATAACATTATTACATGAAAATAATTAATTTCATATGAATTTCTTCCTAGGTTTCCGGAATATAAAAAATGTTGTCAACATTATTTCAATTTTGTCTTATTATATGATGGCTGTCATGTGGCAGAAAATGTTCACTTATTAATTTCCCGTGTATACAAGCTCACGTGTATGAATAATTTCAAGAAAATTTTCTGGTTACCATAGTAACAATTGAAATGAAGGATCTGATATTTTCTCTCAAGTAATGCTCATTTATTAGACAGAGCTGTCATTTTTTTGGAATTTGACATTTTATGGGAGATGAGATTTTGTGAAATAATAACACAAATATGATATCAGATATGGAGATGCAATTCATGACATACAAAGTAGGTACCTTATTGATTTATCGAACACAATGAAACAAGTGAGGTACCTAGTTTTTGAAATATGTAGTTCTCATTAGGTATAAGATTTTAGTATAGAGTTCAGATAATTTATACGATGCTATAAAAGCAGATGATATTTCATCATTGCTCATGTAAGATGGAAGTAGAGGCCATGGCACCATATCATGAGCATATTTTTATATTGAAACTATCATTGGGCACCAAAGATGTGTATACGACGCTATGAAAGTTCAGAGAACTCGAGATTTTTCGTACAAACTACGTTCTTAGCCCGTACCTAGTTTATTATTGGCAAAAATAAAGACAGTAGAGTGAGCTAGGTACGTAGTTTATGGAAAAAAAAAATCAAGACAGTCGAGTGTGCTTTTTTTACTTTCTTTTGTTTTTTATTTCGTTTTCCATTGGCAAGTGATTATCTAGGAACTTGTAAATGTTTTAGTTTTTTCATCGTATCTCCCGAACTATTGAATTCAGAGAAAAATGTTATTAGGATTTTTTGTAGATTCTATCAAAAGGAATAATTTTGGTCCAATAACATTTTCAGATATTTTCAGTTGTTTTCGAGATATTTGGAATTATCTGAGAATAAAATTTTCAACACTTTTGTTCCATCTTCCAATCAACAAAATGAAAAAATATTCCATGCCTCAGTGGAGGTAGATGAGCTTCATCTATCGATAATCTATGTTTTTCAATATATCTTCATAGTACCCTATGGGTCGTTAAAATTTTTTTTTTCATATTTTTCACTTTATTTCCTGTACTATTGGGTTTACAGAAGAAATTATGGAAAATGATTTGTAGGGAATGTTCCAGTGGATAACATTGCACTCTTGATAATTTTCGATTCTTCCATTTGTTTTCGATATATATTGAATTAAAAGGATTTCAAATTTTGATGTTTGGGTTTTCATTTGTTTTTCCAGTTTCCGATGAATGCACGAAAAAATGATTGAATGATAATTTGTTGCGTCATCAAAGAGGCATACGGTGCATTTCTCAAATTTGGATTTAGTCTATTTGTTCACGAGATATGTCGTTTGAAAGCGAACCGTGTTTTTCGGAAAATCTCCTTGAAAAACTCACTTGGAATTTTCCGACCCTGCTCAATTTCAATAGGCTTCGTCTCTTCCTGATAGAGGTTTTTTTCACAAAAAATAAAATCGATCGGACCACTTTTGCGATTTGTAGAGTGCTTACAAGGAACTTCCGGTGAAAAATCGAAAAAACCCGGAAAAACCACCTTAGAGTTTTCCGATTTCCTTCATATTTTAATGACATAATATTGTTTTGAGTACAATAAGATGGCAAAATTTCAAGTCGATATGTCAAAGGGTTCCGGAGATATATCGATTTATGATTAACACAGAGTACAGACAGACAGACAGACCACACACAAAAACCAAAGTTGCTCAAAATTCGATGGGGATCATTTTCTCCAAAGCAACTATACCTCTATCTCGCTTAGTTTCCGAGATAGCATTTTTGGCACGGCCGTAGTATACTCCACTATGTATAGCGTCGTATAACAAGAGCAATTTTGTGTCATAATCGTAGAAAAACATCTTTTTTCTACGGCTACCACACAAAATTGCTCTTGTTTTACTGTGTTCGATACATCAATGAGGTACTTTGTATGCCATCAATTTCATTTCCGTATCTGATTCAGATATCACAATGACTCCATTGTGTTATTATTTCAAACATATCTCATCGCTCATGGAATGACAAATTTCCAGCAATAACAGCTTTGTCTAATTGATTGAGCACTACTTGAGAGGATGGCTACAAGACGAAGAAATCAGAAATGCCGCTGTTATCTGTTACAGCCGTGGAAGAATTATAGTGTATAACTCGCACGGAATGCTAATTTCCCACTCGAATGATTGCAAACATCATTCTCGTGGGAAATCACTATCATTCCGTGCTCGTTGAACGATATACTATTCCGCACTAACCATTAGAAAAAAATGGTTCGAAATTTTCATATTGGAGCGATATTGGTGAGATATTATAACAGATAAATGTTTATACATCTACGAAAGAACCTTCATAAAACTTCAACACAGATGAACAGGAAGAAAATAAGCTCTCAGATTCATGATTTTTATATTGTGAGGACAGTGTTTAGACAAACTTGAAGGAGAATAAGTGGAAGAAGGTAATATTAATGGAAAATTTTAAACAATGGAAACCAGAAAAAGTATAGACCACATTGTTAGAAAATGTACAAAGACATCCTCTTAATCAGTTTTCAAGTTGGTACGGATGGTATCCATGATAAATTATTCAAAAAGTAATCGCGAATCAATGGGAACAACAATTAATTCGATAAGGGGTACAAACATTTCTTACACATGCCCCTACCAGAAGTAACATTTGCTGTAAACTTGCACTGCACAAAATATGAGGAGATATAAATGAAATTATAGAAATACACTAGCTGAGGGTCCTTTCGTAATGACCGTTAGTTGCTACTGATAAAACAGATGCCTTTTTATATAAAAATTGTGACCGATGAACTTTTTAGGGATGAAGTTTTGATAACTCGAAAAAATATACTTTACAGAATAGCCTCGAGAATAGCTAATGGACAGGAAGAAAACTTTTCTCACCATAGTCATTATAGCTAATACCACTGAGAAACCGTGACTTATTAATTATTTTTATAGGAGGAAGGTTCAATAATTGAATATTGAATAAATAAGTAACCAATACATTACCTGTTTGAGCATCCTTGATTGAGAAAATAGAGATCCTTCACTAACAAGCTGAAAAATGGAATGACTATCCTTTGCCGTTGATCAGTAGCTCCTTCACTTCTCCACATGGCTGCTTTCAATGTACTCCTGTAGCTGCTGAAATTACTACTAGGGTCCATTTGATGCTCAAGTATGACGAATTTTCCAGAATGTATTTTACTCCACTGAAAAATAAAACAATGAACGGTTATTAAGATTGGACTAGATGAGTACATAGTCTAATTTACTGCTGAAATGAAAAACTCACAGTTTTCTTCAACCTGGAAATAGGCGACATATTTAGCCCAGCAATGATGGCCATCAAACTGTTGAAATTTCCTATATTGAAACATTCCCTTCCAGTTTCTATCCAAAATTCTACAACTCGAACTCGCAATTTCTTCTTTTGATACTACAACGAAAATTCAGCGTTAGGATTCAATATCTCTACCGAAAAGTGTCACTTACTTTACAAACTTGCGTTGCTACGAAATAGCTCAGTCTATTAAACCACTGAACGTACTGTTCCAGATTGTGGGTTTTCTTCATGTCCTTGAATGAGGTCTCCAGATTCGGATTCTCTTTGGCAAAGGCCTGCACAAATTCCTCTGGACCGATGAAAGACAGTCTTTCCAATTCCACGTGCGTCAGCTGTTGCGCCAAGATGGCCGGACTCGGACAAATTTCGGAAATGTCGGTGAAATTTTCGTCAATCGAAAGGGAATGGTTCTCTAAGGATTTCTCGTAGGCCTCTAGAGCAGTTAGGCGGGGATGGAGATTGTGCAGTAGTGATGATACATTGGCTCGAAGACCCGAGTTGATGGCACAACATTGTTGGGTGATTTTCCTCACGTGTTCCATCATCCTTTCGTCTCTGGAATAATGACATAACATTATTGTTGTTTGAGTATTTATATTTATCCAATTCTTAATGTTTTCATGATATAGAACTGATATTATACTCGTATACTCTCTAAAAAGAATATTGGTTGCATATCTATATATTATAAATAAAACGAGACTCTAACATTCCCATATCTCTCATGCGCCCGTGGAGGATTGGAACTAGATCTTTAGGTTACAAACCATTTACAAGAGACTTTCATGAAGTTGGCATCATCATGTATGGGAAACATTTTTAAAAACAGTTCATTTTTAAATTCGACTCGGGCGTTAAAATTTTCTATGAAAAAGATAAAAAATGGTCTACTTGGCCGGGGTCACATGACTTTCGCTACCTGTCAAAAGTTAATTTTTTCAAAATTAATCGCTGAAAATAGGCTTAACCTACAGGGTCCGGCAACAGGATTGAATGGTTTTGAAAAGGTTGCTGTGGAAATACTGTTCATTTGACAAACGTCAAATAGTGATGAAATTATTGGCCGGTTAATCAACGTGATATTCCTAGTGCAATGGAATGCAGAACGTGTTGGACTCTGTTCAACGGCTACTCTGGTACTTTCAATATTACCTTGTGTACGAACTGTACGTGTACCTCCGACTAATTTTGAGTTCACACTGCCCTTCTCGTCTATACCTCTTAACTATCTCAAACTTGCATTTCTTGACTTCAGCACACACTGCCAAATCGAATTCACGGCGAATACGCTTCTGGGTACCTGTGTTCTGGGTTTGCACGATGGACATAGATATTCCGAATGTCTTTTAGTTCTTCCAGAAACTCTACACCTCTACAGATTACAGATTATGGAATTCTAGCGTTAATCATATTGTTTGCACGGTTTTGTGGAGATAATTCCACATTTAGGATTTCTAGCATTTTTGATCATAACTTGCAACGACAATAACATTTGTATAAAACCAAAACTGTATGATCGAAAAAATCGCTATCACGACAGAAAGTCGCTAAGATTTCAACAATTTCCCCTACAGCCCGCTTTTTTAGCTATCTTCGCTCGTTAGCGTCTCCTATCATGAATTTTCTCGGCACTTCTCATTAATTTACGCGACATTTCATTCACAACAGCTGGCCATATTGTCTCTGATTACCAACCTGAACTCGTAGGGAAACGTTTCCGTCCACTCGGCCAGCAGCTGCACCAAGTGCTCGGCGAACCGCGCCTGCGCCTGAGCTTGCGCAGCTGTCCCGCCCACCCTGCCCGCCCCGCCCAGACCCTGCTGCGCCTCGCACAGCTTCCGCACCTCGGCCAGCAGGTCGGGCGGCTTGATAAACAGCCGCGAGGAGAGCAGGAAGGCGAAGAGGTATGCGCGGTCGGGGTAGTATGTGTCGGTGGGCACGGTGTGCTGGATCAGGGCGTCCAGGGGGCCGGACACAAGGTTGCCGTCTCTGTACACGAGTGCCTGGATAAAGGTCAGAAAGAGATTATTTTTCAAAATTTTTCATAAGAAAGACAAACTTCAAATCGGTCGAACACACACTTTATAACATAATACACAAAACTTTGAACTTCATTATACCTCCATTATACGGTGATATTTTGTAGGTATTCAGTAAGGAATTTTTGCATGAACACTCGATATTTCCCATGCGTGAAAATGTTTTTTTGAAAAAAAAAAAAAAAAATCGAAATCATGTGATAAGAGATGTTTTTCTGGTTTTTCAACTCATTGATATGTGACTGATATATATTTGATCTCTGGTAGAAGTCCATGTTTGATAAAAGTGGAGTGAAATTTTTCAAAAGGAAGAAGGAAAGCTCAATGTCATCTCCACTACTTTATTACTGATGTAAATCAATTAAGGGGGCATGTTTCGGAAAAGTTTATCTTCAGCCGTTTTTAGAAGTAACTACAGCAAAAGGGATGTGAAAATATATATATACAGGGTGTTTCAAAAAAACCTGACCCCCTTACTAGAGTAGGTAGAACACTGCAAAATAAGTTGGGTTTACCCAGTAAAGAAATTTCGTAACGGCATCCGTTATCAAGATACAAGGTGTTGAAAAAATTATTTTTTTACACATTTTTCAAGATTATGTCGAAACTACTGGCAACATCGTGATGAAATTTTCTATTGATGTTTCTTGGAATCTGACACATTGCATGCATTTGTTTTTATACCTGACTCTCATAGAGGGCGCTAGTTACACGGTTCGTACCGAGTAGTTTTGAATATAACTTTTTTGAGGTTAGATTTTTCAATCCAAATTTGATGTGAGCTCAAACATTATTCAATTTCACACCAAAATGGTACTCTTGGTAGAACTCGATACTGTGTTCCGTTTTCGAAATATTTCGATTTGAAAATGATGAAGTGATAAATGTTGCTGGTATAAAGCTATGTATTTGAGTGAGTATTATGAAAAATCATCACCTATTTATTGAAAACCGAAAACAACAATACATTTCTGATGCTAAACTTATTGATTCAACAATGAATCACAAGAATAACATCCAAACAGATTTGAGTAAGAACATGGATTACACAGTTTTGTTGTATCTTGAGCAGAAAGTATATGCTACATAGGTAAATTCCCATCAAGGTTTGTAAGACATAATTGAACATCACTTAAATGACCTAACAGCTGATCCTCAACTGTTTAAAAGAATAATACATTCTTAAGAAAAGAATATAGAGTCGTGAATTCGTCGAAACGTAAGATATTTTGAACACTTACTCTAACTGATTCAATATTTCATGTTTCTAGTCAAATATCTCTCAAGTTTCTACTTATGATTTTTTGTTCCATCAATAACTTCAGCACAAGAATGATTTCATTGTTTACGAATCTGAATAAATAGGTAATTGACCTCAATAAAATTCATTTTATACCAGCATCAGTACTACTCCATTATTTTCAAATCGAAATATTCCGAAAATGGAACATAGTATCGAGTTTTACCAGGAGTACCTTTTTGGTGTAAAATTGAATGATGTTCAAGTCCATATCATATTTGGATTGAAAAATCTAACCTCAAAAAAATTATGTTCTAAACTACTCGTTTCGAACCGTGTAACTAGCGCCCTCTATGAGAGTCAGATATAAGAACAAATTCATGCGATGTGCCAGATTTCAAGCAACATCAATGCAAAATTTCATTGCAATGTTACCAGTAGTTTCGAGATGATCGTGAAAAATATTTAAAAAATCATTGTTTCAACACCTTGTATCATGAAAACGGATGCCGTTACGACATTTTTTCACTGAGCAAACCCAACTTATTTTGCAGTGTTCTACCTACCCTAGCAAGGGGGTCAGGTTTTTTTGAAACACCCTGTATATTATGAAAAATTTTTAAGGAAAAATTAAGATATTTTCATATTTCCTGATCAAACTGTCGAAAATTGCATTGAAAAAAGTTGGGGGAAGAAATGCCCCTAGCCCTACCTATTTCCCACGCCCCTGATAAAAATTTCAGAAAATTGTTAATATTTCCAAACACCCTGTATATAATTTTCAGTACATCCACAAATACTCTTTTGGGGCTTCCAGTATATCAATTGAGAATATTGAGATAGGTGGTTGAGAATCATATATTGTGCAACTACATGAATAAATTATGATTTCGGTTGTTCAGGAGAATTCAAAGACGGATCTAACGAAGAATTTACTGGTTTTTGATGTATGAAGCTACTCTACTATATTATAATCATCAATATCTAAACACACCGGCAAGCCTGGAATTAACATTATGGAAGAACATACATACAAAATGGTGGATAAGTAGAAACTTGACGAGAAAGAATAAACTTGGAGGAAATAACAGTCTTATGAGAAGGCTTCAAAACCTAGTTCGACGTGTAGGTAAATCTGTTCAGATAAGAATGAAGCAACCATTTTCATCTCATTTACGAAAAAGTTATATCCTAAGGATATCTGGTGATCACTTTTGTGCCACATTGTAGTAGCAAAAGTGTATTTAAATTTCGATTTCTCCAAGGAATATTGAACTCAAAGCAATTCAATTTTAATTATCAGGAGGAATTCGCAATATCAACCAAGCTAAGCCATCATTAATAATTATCTAAAGTAAAACATAACTACTTCTTACGTTATCTTGTTGTAAACCAGACTCTGTAGATCCCTCTTGGCCGGCTTCACCATTGAAAATAGTCGAAAAACTCTTTGATTGCGGTGTCTGTGGCAAGCTCTGAAGTGTGAATTGTTAACTGTTAGTGGTAATTATTGCATGAAACTATTTACCATGAGGTTACAGTAACTTTGTGACATTGTGAATGATTATCGAACATTAGATAATTACGTGAACAGCCAATTAGTCTACTAATTAATGGAGCAGTATCACGGAACTCTTTAGTTTCGTGAATGTGATGACAGCAGCAGTTATATAATGATATGGAGATATGTATGAAACATATATATTCGAGAATCACTCGCAAATGATTTATTCCAGTATTGAAAAGTAAAAATAAAAAAGTAATGATGAGTAAATAAATTCGTACGAATAACAAAATTATCAGGTAGGAATTTATATCTATACCTTTCAAATTAATATGATACTAACTATTACCCACCTATGATAGGTATCATACATGGTGTTATTCAAGAATGTGGCTAAACTTTCCGAGTAGAATTTTCGAGTTATTCCAAGTCGAAAAGTTCATTGAAACATGGGTCGGGAAATACTCCGTTTTCAAGATACTGGCTGTCAAAGATATATTATATACAGGGTGGATTATTTTAATCTATTATGGATAATAGTTCTTTCCGGAAGCCGCTAACAAAAAAATGGTTCCAACAAAAGTTGGAGGATTCAATGGGGGCCAGAGAATGACCCTACTCACAACCCCCCCCCCCACAGGGACCCCATACGGCCCTGGGAGATGAAATGTTTTTTTTTCAATCGGAACCCTATTCTTTCACAACGGATTCATGTTCTACAGAGAAAAACAAATTGAAAATGTCTCTAGCAAATTCTTTTTTGGGCCCCTTAAAGGGCCCCAAATTTTCAATTTTGGTATTTGAGTTGCAATAACTTTTAGGCTAAGGTCATACCTATGTTTTAGATATGATAACATAAGTGCAGTTCCAGCATATTATCGTGTTTCTAAGCAAGCCCTTAATCTGGTTAACGAATTACATGCCAATGAAGATTCTTTGATTTCTTCAACTCAAATACCAAAATTAAAATTTTGGGACCCTTTAAGAACAATAATAGATCAAAATGGTCCACCCTGCATAAATATCGCGAATATCTCTAATCCAATTTTGTTAGGATACTGTGATGTTATTTGTCGTAGTAAGGTTATATAATTCCGCCATTAGGTATACTATATAGGTTCACGAACAACCTATTATTCGAAAAAAGATTGTCACTGTCACTGTCAATGTGGTCATAATTATAAACTTTTTGTCTCAGCATCCCTTGATAAAATCACCCCTTGATGTTTGGCCACATGCTTGAATAACACTCTGTATAATGATTCATTAATTTCAAATGTGAATATCGAGTACTATCTAATAATACAAATGTGAATATCAAGTACTGACTAATAATACAAATGAGGATTAGGTAAATAGGTAATGTATGTAGAAGATAGAAATTTAAATATATTTTCAGCCATGTATTTGGAAGCAGGCATCGAAAGTACATGTCTAAGTATATATTTTTTATAGAAACAAAACTTATATCAGGAGCAATTTTTTCAAATACTGGTATGAGGCCACTTAGTTAAACATAACCTCGAAGTATTTCTAGTGAAAAGATAAATATACCTACCTAGGTAAATACACGGTTGCTGGTAATTCGATAAATTGCTTTGGGATGTGATAGAGGAGGTGGTAAAAAGTGAATATATCCCTAATATGCATTATGCAAAAGTTAATCGTTTCTGAGATATTTAAAAGTAAATCAGCTACAAGAGAACCAGATCTTTTTTCAAAGTTAAGAGCCCACCTAAAGTCTGGTGGTCTTCTAGTGGGACAGCTGTATATATTTTCAATTTATATTCAACTCAAACACCCTGTATATCGACCCTGTTATTGGCATCGATGGGGCATTGCGGTTCTTATCAGCAGCTTGCTGCTAGCTCACTCGTCAGAGCCGGATGACCTTGAAAGCGTAAAAAATTACCAGAATGGACCTTAAAATTCCCTGAAAAGTTCCGTACATCTAGGGAAAAATCTGCTTTGCTATAATCTAGGGAAAAATGGCTTAGAATTTTATAAAATGATCTGGTTCTCTTGTAGCTGATTTACTTTTATATTTTTCAGTTTGTCTCCAAAAGGTAGTTTAAGGGTTTGAAAGTTAGTTTCCCGAAAATCCGCTGTATATACTTTTTTTCAACCTGTAAACTAGAATACTTGATTAAAACACTATGGTCTCATGTTCGGAATGAAAATATTCCAGAAATAATTCAGATCATAGATGAATTGTGAATACAAATTCGTATTTTTGATTTTTTTTGTGAATTGTGGATTTTAACACTTTCTAGCGGTTACTTTTAGAAACATCTCTAAGCCACATTTGTCATACATTTTTAAAAACTTCCCTATGGCAATAGCTACCTGTGTACACCTGAGAACACCTGTCCAAGGATTAGAAATAAGGGATCCGGTAAGAAGGGTTCAATTCTGCAGGTTGATGATAAATTCTGATGCAGAAAATAGAACGTTCTTATCCGACATTTTATGGACGGATTAGCCAAAATTTAATCGCGAGGGCATCCCAAATTTTTATAACCTCCATTATTGGGCCGAAGAAAACCCTCGTTCAACAAGGGAAACTTGTTTCCAACGGAAGATTTTTGTAAATGTGTGGATGGGACTCATTGACCGTTATTTAACACGCAAGTGGTGACCTGCGGTCTCTCAGACTGACCAAAATCTATTTTTTGAATTTTAGCGCAGTCGCGCGATCCCTCCTGTAATGCTTCCCTCCAGCTTAACCTTTTTTGGGACTCTTCACGCACTGTAAACCAGATGAAATCAAGCGTATTCAATCAAAGGTACATATTCTCACACAAATAACATATTATTTCTAACAGAAATCATCCACATTAGGAGCAGAACAACCAAGGATTCTACATCCCATGAAAACATGTATGACTGATCAAGAGGATCTTGAATTGAATTGAATTTTGTCAATAATATGATGTGATTCCAATGATGTTTCCTCTGAGCAAAATCATATCAACTGACACTATTTTGATATTATATATTGTTGTGTGTCAGCGCGAAGCCCTGATCTAACCCCCCTTGATTATTATGTGCGGGGTCATGTGAAAGCACTAGTTTATGAAACCTTATTTAAATACCTGGGAAGAGCTCATGAAAAGGTTAATCGACGCTGCCCTACAAATACGAAATAATTTGACAACTAGAATAACAAATACAGAAATAAGAAAATGATGCCGAACATGTATTAGTATAAGCTCCCACTTTGATCAGGATTTCTAAAAAGTAAATACTAATAGAACATTTTCAAGTACGTCTTTACTATTCATTCAAAATAACAAACCCGTATCAAGCACTTTTAATGAATTTTCGAAAAATGTGGCTCAGAGATTTTTCTAAAAATAACCGCTAGAAAGAGTTGACATCCACAATTCACAGACAGAAATACGACTTTATATTTACAATTCATCTATATGATCTGAATTATTTCTGGAATTTTTCCCTTCCAAACATAAGACCATATAGTGTTGATCATTATATATTCTAGCTGGGATGTTGAACAAATGTACAGCAAATTTTCGTGAAACTAACTTTTAAACTCTTGAAGTTTTGGAGAAAAAAGACACATTTAAATATCTCAAAAACTATAAACTTTTGCATAATGCATATTAGAGTTGAATTCAATTCTTATCACCTCCCCTATCACATCTCCAAAGGAATGTATTGAATTACCAGTAACCCTGTATAGTAGTTTTTGTAAATTTTCGAAAAGGTTTTACTCATACAGATATATTCAACTCGAAATATAGGCAATGAATATTGACACTATACTGATAATGATGTAATATGTCCATATGTCCTTACTCTACATAAATTTACATTTCAACTCGCATACATAAATTCAAAATTTAACAATGATCATGATTACCCATATAACACGTTACGGACTATATCATCTTAACAAATGCTTACTGCTACTGATAAGGTTTTAATTCTAGCCAATATGTGTTTTAATGTTGGCATAAGAACTGTCGCTTTAAAGCATATAGGTTTAAACTGGTGCTAAAATGCTTTTTGATAGGTTTTATTATTGCTTTGAGGCATACTACAATAAATTCCTTTTAGTTTTATGACAAGTTTTATGAGAAGCTGTGACAACTTTTATAAAGGTGGGCCCTTTATATTTTGAGAAGGTTGTTTCATTGTTTTAATGATATTATTTGAGTATAATAGTTTTGAAATAGTTATTTTTGTATCTAGAGCGCGAAATGCTACTTTGGTGATCGAGATCTGATTTTTTAACGAGGCGTAGCCGAGTTAAAAAAATAGTCGAGATGACCAAAGTATTTCGTGCTCGAGTTGCAAACAACATTTTTTCTACAAACGTCAAAAAATATATTTCTGAAGTAAAAATATGCTTAGCTTGATATCAAAAATAGTGTTGAACTGGATTAAAAAGGCTTCCTCCTATCCTCCCTAGGTACGCACGATGTTCCATGAACATAATAGGAATTTCCTTTCGTGCGCTCCAAGAAATAAAACAAAGTTATTGTTGAACATTCAAAAATAAATGATTTCGTGGATGTTTGTTCGATTGAGGACCATGAAGTTGAAATATAAATATCTCATATATTTTACATAACAATGCGCGAAGTAGGTACTTCGCGCACTGTTTTACTTCGCGCACTGCTTCGCACATTGTGTCGTGGTAACGTAGGAAACTGAAAAAAAGTGTCACTTCGCAATTTGTTATCAATGCGCGAACCTTGTCATTTTTTGACGTTTGTAGAAAAAGGAATTTTAAAATAGGCTGTAACAACCTCCTGTAGCCAACAATAAAACTGATAATGTTATTTGGTGAAGAAGTAATCATTTTATTGTTATATGTATTAAATATGTATTACTTTAATAATTGATTGAATAACCTACCGGAATATTACGGGAAAATGAACATTTTAATAGGTATACCTATAGAAAACGATTCCTTATTGATGATTGATTATTTTTCAACTCGATTTTCAATAAGACATATTTGTTAACTTACTCGAAATATTTATTCTGCGACTACTAATATGAAAAACTGCATTTATGTGGATGCACACAATTTTTTCATTCTTCTGAAGTTGGTAAATATATTGTTCTATTAATTTGGTAGGTCTATTGTGAGCTTTCATTATATTTGCTATCAATAATAACTGACATTTTATATGTTTTACTACCGTCACTATCCCAATTATCGAGAAAATTCTCTAGATGTATGCATTTTCCAGAATATCGTTCAATTTCGATTGCCTATTTGTATATCAAACTACTGTACAATAAATACCAATATACATATTATCCTGTCTAGTTGATGTATTACGGCAAACATATATAAGTACGAAATTCACAAACAAATTGATAACCTTATCAGTGGGTTTTATGAAACAGACATATTCTTCCCAAATAGAGGTCTTCACTCAACTTTTTGATACTTATGAAATAGTCTTATCGAAACACAGCGATTTGAGTTTCAGCGTGAAAAAAAACTCTTACTAACTGAATTGAGAACGAAAAAACAGTGACACTTACCCTTCTATTTGTACAGTCTTTTGGTGTGAGGTCGGATGCTACCGTTCCAAATATTGTCGGCTAAAAATAGATTGAAATAAAATTAGTTTTATTTTGTTTTCTGTACACAATTTGGCGAACAAACGTTTGCTACGTCAGTGAAGCAATGAGTTTCACGTTGAATAGTGAAGAATATCAAACTGAACATTTCATACAGCACAAACAGCAGACAGTGAACTTTGAGTTCTATCATTTTGTTTCGTCAGCCAGTTTGAAGGTCAGGGAAATTCTAATTCGATATTTTTGTTGACGAGTAGGTAAATTATTGTTTGGTTCAATGGATTTTCGTCCGAATTCATAGCTACCCTCCCTAGACAACTATGTAGAGGATATCTTTAAGAGATCCCAAGAGATCTGAGTTGGGAACTTGATTTTCATCCATCAATTACACTGGAGCAGGTGTGGAGGAATCTAATTTATTTCAATTTGGGCGGTATCTGAGATATGAATTACTACTAGCTTCGGTGTAACTCAACGGATCATTTTTTACAGATCAATTTCTCTCTGTCATCGATTAAAATTAAAAGTGCAAGCTCTCATTTATCGTGATTGTAATTCAACTCGAGTATTAAATCAGATCACACTTGATAGTATTTTGATCATTTCATCAATACTAGAAAGAGTAACTTTTGATACATGGAAGGATTGTTTATAACATAATGTGTGAGCGAGCTAATTACATGCAATTCACTTCCAACTAGAAGAAAAAGGCATGGGATCCTATACTTACTAGAATATCTCCATCATAAGGATACAAAAACCCATTTCCATTATAGGTCGTACACTTCCGGAACTGATCCGTGAGGTAGTCCGTCTCGTCCAGCGAACTCAACGAGTCTATCGAGCTCGGCGTGAAGTCCACCTTGGTCGTCGAGTTACTCAGATGACCTGAGTCCTTGCTCAGGCACTGCTTGGGATGGTAAGAAGGTACCGCCGGATCCTCAGACTCGTAACTAGAAGCGCTCGAGCAACTTCCGAATTTCCGCTCGCTGCCTGTCTCGTACCCGTTGTTATCATAGTACTTGGCGTTGTTTTCCGTGTACTGGACCTTGGTGTATTGGCCGTTGAGCAGTTCCGAGGTCGGGATTATTTTGATAGGCTCGAACACCTCGGTCAAAGCGCTCGAGTAGAAGTTCTGTTCTTTCGTTTCTCTGCTCCTCTCGTCGACTATTTTACCCGCCCTGGAAACGGTGACTTCCTCCTTAGTCACCGTGGTCGATTTGACGCTCAATGAAGTGTCTAGCTTGACAGGGGCCTTGAGGATCCCCGTTTTAATCAACAGAGTGTTCAGCAGATCGCAGGGGGGGACTTGTCCCGTGATTAGCGCTTGCTTTATTGCCATGCCGTCGCTGCCTTCCAGCTTCACGGGGATTCCATTAATATAGAGGACTTCTTCTTCTTTTATGGAGGATTTTTTTTCGCAGTCCAAGACTTTGGCGCCTTTGCCCAGGATGGATTCTACGGTCTCTTGTATCTCTGGGTCGTCCATTGTCTGGAAGCTGTTGGGAAAGATTTATGGGTGAGAGGGTGAGATAGGCTTGCCACCGATCCTAATTAGCGAGAAGCAAGTCACGACGATTGTGGTTGGTAGCGCTGTTTCAATGTATTTTCCTCGCGCGAGTTCAATAACATCTATAACTCTGGAAATTATAAACAGACGGCAGTTTCGATATGTAACATATCTAATAACGAACAGGCGGCTATCTGGTTATTACTTGAAGAAAGTGAAATGTGTTCTGCGTTGATGACTGATTATAAATAACATAGTGGTTCATGAAATAACCGGTAATGTTTTCTAGAAAATTGTGTAACCGTAACATAATCGGTTTTCATTATTGGAAGGCGATTGATGAGAGTCAGGAATTACAATTTATAAACAGGTGCATGTTTCGGTGTATATAGTTTAAGAATACAATAATTGCATTAATTTATTTCCATTTGAATCGAGTGATATGTATAGGTAGGTATGTAATATGATCTGTGCTATTTTTGGTTTATAAGAAGAACTTAAAATGCCAAAAGCAACGGTTTAATCAAGTGAAGAAGGTGACCCTAACACGGGGTTACATGAAAAGCAGTCGATTAAAATAACTTCCTCTTAGTAAGGATAGATTTTATCATAAAAAATTATTTATGATCAACTAATGCATCACCAGAACATGAATGAAAACAAAAAAATTATACCCCCGTTTTACGTTAATTATTCACCCATTTTCAAATTCACGAAAGTCAAACTTGAACCACGCCTTTACAACGCCTTTACCCGCATATCCTTGTGTATTGGGAGATATAAATTCTCGCGCATGTTGTAGCACTATAATGAATCCAGGTAATGGTGTCATTCATCAGTTCGAGTTAGCAGATTAATCTCATCAAGCACCATTTCCTATTTTTATGCGGAATGATATTATAGCGATGAATGAAATGCTTTCAGTCTATATTTAGAAATAGCGTTTCCACTCGAGCTCCACTTATAAATCATGAATGAATGCGGTTTCCGAATCGGTACATCAGCTCTCTTAACAAGTGACGTACGCATAATATCCGGAACTTCCGGAAGTCATGACGCCTATTTAAAAGAAACGTGTGATATTGTTAGTAGTACTTGACACTGTCACTTTGTTCCGCCCGAATTGTTGGTCAACATTCGTACGGGTTTTTGGCTATTGAAGCACAGCGCTCATTGGGAAAATGCATATTGGAAAATTAAGTGTTCCAATTAGCTACACGTCACCCCTGTGAGTTATTTCATTACCATTATTATCATTAGTACCCATTTCATAAATTATTTCAGGTCATGAATTGCTTGAAAAGCCATCAAGCAGCCACCAAAGTTTTGAACTTTTCTTCTCCTTCTCTTCAACTCGAAGATGGTATGTCTATACAAGGTCAAAGCAAGTCGGAGTACAGGGAAATGAACAAGTAGTCATTTTGTATGAAGAGGGGCATTACCACTAATTCGGCCAGAGCCATTCTGAGGCTTTGGCAATTCGTATTGACAAGACGAACTTGATGAATCGGAAGAAGAAATCTGCGTGCAATAATGGCAAATACCTCCAGGACTGTGATATTTTGAAATCTGAGCAGTATGACAAGAAACAAATCAGCGGGCATACAAAAAATGCTCAAAATGTATGATCAAATAGTAAACCTTCAGCAAAACCATAGATGCAAAACATAATGGACAATACAACAAACACAAACAACGTAAAAATGGCTGATGGAAGGTCAACAATGAGGTTATATTGAAGCCGGCTCTGATAAAATCTATGACGAGTATAGACATGTCCTAATAAGACTCGTGCTGATACATACTGCGCAGGTGCAGCAACCAAGTTCTTCGCCTTATATTTGTTGCTTATAGGAGTTATAGGTCAGTGCTAGTGATGGGCATAATCGAATGATTATCATAATCGAATAGTTAGTATTCGAATGATTCCTATAATCGAAATATCATTCGAATGATCGATCGCTCGGATACATATTTTTTCACAGCGTAGCGAAAATAGCGAACTATTGATATTACATGGTTGCGCGCGCCACAGCCACACTGTTCTCTTCTCTCTCTCTCTCTCTCTCTCACACAGTTTATACGTTTCCTGCTCTTTTCAGCCCCTTCTCAGAGTTCTCAGTCATAACACCGTGTCATAGTTCAGTCTGTTAGACACTGTCTGTATCTGTAACACAGAGTTGGATCAAGCCGTGTAGCGGCACTAGCGACGCGTTATTTGATTTGTTTTTCTTCTGTGACCTGTGTAATAGTATCGTTGCGATTTGCTGAAAAATGAGACCCGGTGCGAAAAAATCGATTGTATGGGACCACTTCGAAAAAATAGGCGATAGTCAAGTTCAGTGTAAAAATTGTAAAAAAATTATGAAATTTTTTGGCAATACCACTAACCTCAACCAGCATTTAAAACGCATCCACCCGATACTTACAGCAGTTCCCTCAAACGCAGAAAATAATTTAATCGGAAATGATGAAAACCCAGGTCCGTCTTCAGCTGTTGTTGGACGTAATGGTAGTAAGAAATCACCAAGTTCGGATTCTATTCATCCTCCGCCTCCAAAACTTCGTAGGCAAATGAAACTCTTCGGTGCCCCGAGCGATCAATTGAAAGAAAGTGATGTTCAAAAAATGAATAATGCTCTGCTCAAAATGATAACAAAAGATTATCAACCTCTTTCAATAGTGGAAGATGAAGGATTCATTGAATTCACCAATTTACTACAACCCTATTACGAGTTGCCTAGCCGGAAAAAACTTTCATATGAACTATTACCTGAGACTTACCTCCAAGAAGTCTCTAAACTGAAATCCTTACTTAATGACGTTGAAAGTGTTTCTGTTACTACAGATATTTGGACTTCTGATAGTAATAAGAGCTATAGTACGTTGACTTGCCATTTCATATATCAAGAACAATTTTTCTCCAGAGTGTTGTCGACAGAGGAAATAATGGGAAGTCACACAGGTGAACGCATAGCAGAAGTTTTGAAAGAAACCTTTTGTAAGTGGAATATTTTCCATAAAATAACAACAATTGTTTCAGACAATGGGTCAAATATAAAATGTGCCATCAATGAATTTTTGAAAAAGCATCATCACCCTTGCGTGGCACATACACTCAATTTAAGTGTGAATGATGCAATAACGAGCAATCCAGGATTTCAGGCGATTTTGAGGAAGTGTAAAACAATTGTGGGCCATTTCAACCACAGTGCATTATCATGCGGCAAACTCAAATCAGTGCAGGAGCAAATGGGCTTTCCAGTGCTCAAGGTGAAACAGGATGTTGCCACAAGGTGGAACTCGTCATTGATTATGTTAGAGAGATTGGTCAAAATCAAGGATCCTCTCTCAATTACAATGACGAAGATTGATAAAGCACCAGAATTTTTGGATGCAGGTGAATGGGGAGTGATTGAGGAGAGTTTAATTCTTCTTAAACCTTTAGAGTACATGACAACAATTCTATCGGCAGAAAAGTATCCGACAATATCAACTGTCATTCCACTTGTGAGGGGTCTCCAATTTTCCCTCAACGGTATAACGACCACCACAGAAACGTGTACCAGCTTGAAGCAAAGTCTTTTGGAAACTGTGACACGTCGACTAGGTATATTGGAATGCAACAAGACTGTAGCAAAAGCTGCTTTCTTAGACCCAAGGTTCAAAAAAATAGCCTTCGGAAACGAAAATAATGCAAATAATGCACAGAAATGGGTTGCTGAGGAGTTGACTGCAATAATAAATGAAAACAATCGGAAAGCTAGTCATGAGAATACCATCGATAACAGCGAGAATAATTCGAGTAACATCAACACTCTTCTTGAAAAGAATGAAAATTTTGATCTGTGGTCTCATTTCGATGATAAAGTGGCCAAGGCCAAATCATTCACCACATCAACCACTATGGTAACTTTGATGATGAGGCAATATCTGGAGATGCCACATTTTGATCGAACAAAAAATCCGATGGAATTTTGGAAGAAATACAAAGCCACTTTTCCTGAGCTGCATCAATTGGCCATGAAGTATTTATCGGTTCCTGCCACATCGGTACCTTCCGAAAGAGTGTTCTCGAAATCTGGGCAACTCACAAACCTAAGAAGAAACCGTCTATCTCCTAAAAAATTGGATCAGATATTATTTTTAAACAGTACCTGAATTTCAAAATCTGACAATGTACGTGTTTGTTTTTTTTAATTTAATTTCCAAAGAATACGTTTTAAGTTTTGTTATCTATATTTATATATTTTCATTGTTTTTTGTAGAATTTTTTTTTATTTGTCGTTTTTGCTCATCCTTCATTTGTTAATTATTTTTCTATTTATTTATCTCCTCATTAAAGTTTATTTTCTGAATTACCCGTGTTTCGACTTTTCGAGTCCTGTCCTGCTCGCCTAATTCCAACATTCCAACTGCAATGAAATTCGAAGAAATGGTCGGGTCGCGCCACACGCGCCGCACATCCACCTGTGACATCCACAAGTTCTGTGCTCGATGCTCGTTTCGTAGTTCGAGTTCGTAGTTTCGTTATTCGAGATCTGATCACGATCTGATTCGAGCAATCCACTCGCCCCTCTCGTCACACGTCAGTCGTCTCGAATGATCCGAATAATTCGAGTGATCCGATACATCCGAGTGATCCGAATCGTTCGAAAATCTCTCGTCTTCGACAGTATCTGTCTCCTTTACTCACTCGGCAAGCGGCATCGCGCATCGCTTTTCGAGTGATCCGAATCATTCGAATGATCCTGGTGAAGTACTCGAGACATCTCGAGTGATATTAATAATCGAATTATCGATTATTTTTCATTCGAATTCGCCCATCACTACAGTGCTCCTGGCCCAGGGCTTGGATTTGGGTTCAAATATGATCGTTACAATGTATTTCATAAGGTTCTTCATGAAACTAGCCAAAAAGCTGCTTATATACTGTAGACCCCCACTCGCATAAACCCTTCGAGGGCTTCTAAGGGTTGTTTCGACAAC